TCTCTCTCTCTCTCTCTCTTACTCTCTCTCTTATACACGCTTACAAATACACAAGCATAAAAATCACACTAAAATATGTACAAGCACAACACACACATAAATACACAAACAAACATTAAAACAAACCAATTAACAAAAGAATAATAACAACAACAACAACAACAACAAACAAACAGACAGACAAACAAATCCATCTTCATTTTGCATCTCTCACACTTGGAATGAAAGCACTTACACACAAAGACACGACCACTTTCTTTTACATCCACTCAACTCTCCCAGTAATAAAAAAAAGCAACAACTAAAAGAACTAAATCTTTTCACTTTCAATCTGTGTGAAAAAAGTTTCGCAGTCTCCCAATTATCTGAGGCTAAGCCGCAGCCGACGACATTTTCATTTCAACAATTTTCATGTTTAAATGCCTGAGGTTATATTTAGCCAAATGTTTCTGTATTTTAGCGTAAGTGCCAATCCTGGACACACGAACAAAGTTGACACATTTTTATTCATCTTTTTTTCGCTGTTTTGTATATCTTATTTTCTGTTTCTGAAATGCAATATTATAGGTTTTTCAGAAGTTAGATGGAAAGGGAGAAGTCAAACGAAAACAGGTTTCAAAACAATGGTACACGTATTTTTAAAAGAAAAGCACGTAAAAAGAGGAGCGAAATAAATACAGGGAAGAGGCGTAAATATTCTATTAAAATTTTTAAAAGCAACAGCAAAGAGTACAATGAGTCTCAGTGTTACTGTCATCGCACTGTCACTCACATTCTCAAGGTCATTATTCTGGTCAATGTTAAAGTCATTATGACTGTCATTGTCATTCGCGCGCTCATATGACCTTAGCAGTTGCGAGCGCCGTAAAACCTTATACTATACATGTCATTGTCATTTTACTGTCAGTGCTATTGTCACTGACATTTGCAACTAATATTCTCACTGCCACTGTCATTGTCCTTGTCACTGCCACTGTCCTTGTCACTAATTATACTCACTGTCATTCTCATTGTCATTCTCATCGCCATTGTATTTCATTCTCTAATTATCAATCTCACTGCCACTGTCACTGTCACTATTACTGTTGCTGTCAATGACATAATCGATCTCACGGATATTTTCACAGTCACCATTCACTGTCATTGTCATTGTCAGTGTCACTGCCACTGTCGTTGTCACTATCACTGTTACTGTCAATGACATAATCGATCTCAGGGACACTGTCATGGTCCCAGTCATGGTCACTGTCATTGTCACTGTCATTGTCACTGTCATTGTCACTGTAGTAATTGTCATTATCACTGTAACTGTCATTGTCATTCTCATTGTCCCTGTCACTGTCAATGACACTGTCATCTTTGCGTCTGTCACAGGACAAATCCCCATGAAAAATGACGACCGTGTGCTAAAAGCACAAAATTTTATTGTTGGTGGCAAGAATGCAGTTATAAATGACTTGCCATACCAGGTTTCCATTCTGGTAAGTAGCAAGAAACTAATAGCTTATGCTATATATA